TCCAAATCTCTGTTAATGGATCATACAACTCAGCACTATTTAGATAAACATGGTTATATCCACCTGTAACTAATACTTTCCCATTTGGTAATAAAGATGCTGTATGGCCAGATCGTGCATTGTTCATGTTACCAGTAGTTATCCACATTTGTGTTGATGGATCATATAACTCAGCACTATTCAATTGATCATGATTGTATCTACCAGTAACTAATACTTTTCCATTTGTTAACAATGATGCTGTGTGTTTCTCTCGTGCATTGCTCATGTTACCAGTGGCTGTCCAAATCCCCGTTGATGGATCATATAATTCAGCATTATTTAGACCACCATCATCAAGTCCGCCCGTAACTAACACTTTACCATTTGTTAATACAGATGCTGTATGGTCGTGTCGCGAATGAATCATGCTACCGGTAGTTGCCCAAATTCCGGTTAATGAATCATATAACTCAGCACTATTTAATTTCTCGTGACTATACCCGCCAGCAACTAATACTTTTCCATCTGTTAATACGGACGCTGTGTGGTCAGATCGTGCAATATTCATGCTACCAGTAATTTTCCATTCTATACAGAAACATTTGAATGTATTTATTCTGTGAAGAATAAGTATTGCTGCACTGTCAAGATCGTTTAACTATATGCAAGGATTTTAAACTCTGTCAATTGAAAATCTTTTCTTTCTTTTTATGAGAAGCCGTGTATAATGCAAGTCGACACTAGGTGCACTAATTAGAGGTGAATTAGATAATCTTACTCGGCTTGAAATCACTTACAATTAGAAAAGTCAAAACTATCTTTTCCGCGTCATCATAGCAGCCGATTAATCGGCCCAAAAAAGTCGATACTTATAAATGGTAAAATATATTCTATTGAAATCAGTTTGAAGCTAATAACTATGATCGTTTGTCGTATGATTTTAGCCGCTTATAATCAAGTATCTTTTTATAAAGTATTATTATTGTAGAGAATAAAAAGACGACTATTTTTAAAAAAAATTGACCCCGAACGGATTAGTTTTGATAAAGATGTTAGTGAAATACTGAGGGGACCATTATTTCTGAGACATCCGATACATAAGTAATATATGCTCCTTCCAGACTTCCTTTTTTATACCTTCGAATGTATACGCTCGAATCAGTTCATATAAATAAGTACATCTTTTCTCACATGTCTGAACTCCAGTCAAATCGGTATATAACATTACATACAATGCTACTGTCAACAAAATCCCTACTCAGGCATTTGACTTTTTAAAAAGTCATATAGAGCATCATATATGTTGGATGTAAAAATACAAATATCTGATTTAAAAGTCTGATTTAGTAAGATTACGAAGCAGTATTCGAAAGCTTACTTGGTTGCTCAGGTGTGGTTATAGTTGTTGTTAACGTTGATGTTGGTGTTGTTGTTGTTGTTATTGTTGTTGTTGACATTGATGTGGTTGATGTTGATGTTATTGGTGTTGTTATTGATGTAAACGTTGTTTGTGGTAATGTTATTGTTGTTGTTGGGGATGTTGGTATTGATGTTGTTGTTATTGCTGATGAGGGTGTGGTGGTAGTGATGGTTTCTGGCTTCCTCGGTTCAAGAATGACAAATTTTAATACCAGAGAAAGAGTAACTGCAACTATTGTTAAAACAATAAGAGAGATGCAAATGATCTTAAACCAACGATGATGCCACCATTTGTATAGTCGGTTATTTCCGGTAGTATACTCATTGTAAGCCTGGTTTTTATGCATAGTATGTTTCTAAAGAAACATAAACTAAAACAAGAATGAATTATTGTTCGAAACTATTTTATATTTATCTATTATTCTGACAGAAATAACAAAAAATGAGTAATATTATCTTTAGCGCAAAAGGTACTGCAGTACTCTTATCTTTATATATTAAAACTTACATGTGAGCATGATAGCACAAAAATATGCTTCACTTCTAAGTTGGCTTACGTCAAATGTTCTTATTATACAATGAAGATGTTTCTACTGTCAGTTAAAAAGATGGAACATATTCAGGCTAAATTAAAGCTCTCATTACCATTTTAAGAGTGTGAGTATGAGTATGGGATGGAATTTAAAAGAAGATAGACACCCACACCCACACTCAATAAAAATGTTACTAATATTGATGGATTCAAAATCAAGTAAAGTTATTTTCATAATTGAAAACTAATTACCAGTTAAAATTACTAAATAGTTTATTTTTTTAATTCTTTATAGTTTACTAGCAAATTTATCGTATTATTAGAATTTTAAATGAAAAGAATTAATAGATAAATCTAAATCTAGAGTGATGGTAATAAGAATTTAATACGTATTCAATTGATAAAAATGAGTAAATCATAACTATAAAGAATAACATTATTTAATAATTAAACCAAAAAGTAATTTCTATATTAATAAATGTTTATTCTTCGAGATCAACATGAGATACACTTTTGTTAAAGTATAGTTTTTCTCTCTATATCAATATCATCGAAACATATACAAAACAAATGCAATGAATGATTTTTTCCTTCTGCTCTTCAAATATAATTCTTGTGTATAACGACAATTTACCATTACATAGCACTTGAAAAAATCAATCATTTATTTTCTGTCTGACTAAACAAAAATATGAATAATACACAATTTATTTATTCATAAATCAAATAAAAATGATATAGATTAACAATTAATAAAGTGAATAGATTGGATAGATGTATCTGAAAGATCATTATATTTACTGTGCAAAAATTAAGAATTAGAAAAGTACAAAGTTTTCTTTTTTCTATTCAACGAATAAAATTTGAAACTCTGAGATATGAAAGAGTAGTAATGAGCAATTATTCATCTTTGAGGACAAGGTGACCTCCTTTTCAAATTATTTTCGATGCTGATGAATAATCAAAAAATAATTCACGACGTTGACATATAAGAAAGTACCTGGTTGTATGCATTAAGAACAACATGACCTCTTTTTAATGTAATATTTTTTAGTCAAGAATAAGAAAAATATGTAGGATAAAAATATTCATTTGGTTATAGTATTGAAATATAATACAACATCAATAGGAGCGACAATAATTGATGTTTGATCAGAACTGTGTACAGGTGTGAGATGAATGAAACACAGAAAAGCAAAAAAAAAAGAAAGTTGCCTACATATTTCACTTACTTATTCATATTTTTTGCTTGACGAATGAGTATGTCGATTTATTTTTCTCTCATTTCGTTGTTTAGTTGGTGTCGATAGGTAACATTATCTTCAACTACCGTTATATTCGACAGAGAAATTATTTTTCATTTGAAATAATAAAACGATGTCATCTGAATCAACCATCGTTGTCAACGATATTCATTCACAATTAAATAATACAAGAGTAGCTGAAATTGTAAAAGTAGGATCGGCCGAGGATATCCATGCAACTATTCTCAAAGCAACACAACAGGATCAATCTATCTCCATTGCTGGAGGTCGACATGCCATGGGTGGACAGCAATTTGGTACTGACACAGTGCTGATAGATACAACGAACCTGAATCGAGTGTTAACCTTCGACAGGAAAACAGGTCTTATTGAAGTGGAAGCTGGAATACAATGGCCAAAATTGATTGACTATCTCATCGAAACACAGAAAGAGGCTCCCTGGTCGGAACAGTGGAGCATTGCTCAAAAGCAAACTGGTGCAGACCGGTTATCAATCGGCGGATCACTATCGTGCAATGCTCATGGTAGGGGATTAAAAATGCGACCGATGATTTCTGATGTAGAATCGTTTACTTTGGTTGACGCAGCAGGTAAGTTTCTCCAATGTAGCCGCGAAGAAAATCGTGAACTATTCGGATTAGTCGGTGGAGGGTATGGTTTATTTGGTGTGATTTATTCGGTGACATTACGCTTATTACCTCGACAAAAAGTAGAACGAGTGGTTGAACTCATCACGATTGATAAACTACAAGAGGGATTTGAACAACGTATTCAGGATGGTTTTATTTATGGCGACTTTCAATTTTCTACCGACGAGAAATCGGATGATTTTTTATATCGGGGCGTCTTCTCCTGCTATCGTCCTGTTGATTTGGATACAGCGCTCCCAGCCGCTCAAAAAGAGCTCTCCGAAAATAATTGGAACGAACTTTTTTATCTCGCCCATGCTGACAAAGCCGAAACGTTTCGTCAATACACTAGTTATTATTTATCTACCTCCGGCCAAATCTATGCATCTGATATTCATCAAATGAGCGTCTATATGGACGATTATCATCACGAACTTGATCATCGACTCGATGGAAAAGAACAAGCCACAGAAATCATCACTGAAATCTATGTTCCACGACCTGCTCTGCCCGATTTTCTAGCCGAAGCGCGAGAGTATTTTCGAGCCAATAAAGTTAACATGGTCTATGGAACTATTCGGTTGATTCAGAAGGACGATGAAAGTTTCTTGGCCTGGGCTAAACAGTCCTATGCCTGTATCATTTTCAATCTAGATACCGTTCACACGCCTGCTGGTATTGAACACTCTGCTACCGCCTTTCGCAGTCTGATTGACATGGCTATTATACGTGGTGGTAGTTATTATTTAACCTATCACATATATGCTACTCGTTCGCAAGTCGAAACCTGCTATCCGCAATTTGCTGAATTTCTTCGTCTTAAACGATTGTACGATCCTCAAGAACGTTTTCAAAGCAATTGGTATCGACATTACCGGGAGATGTTTGGTGGGGAAAAAACAAACGAATACTCTTTGAAATCAATGGTTTGGCCACATGAAACCTCCACTTGAGTTTCAATGGTCTCGCATTTTGACTTTCGCTTTGATTACCATTTTACTATTTCATTTTCCAACAAACGCTATTCTTTTCATATTTCTTATTATTTATCTATATAAGCTTCTGTGTGTTTTTCTGCTCTCATTTCTTTGTTGGCAACGTACAACGTATAGTTTTTCTTTCTTGCTGTTCTCTATACCTTTTTATCTTATAACAAAAATAAACTGAATTGAATCAAAAAATTTTTAATGACGTGTAACAACTATTTCTGATCGTCGAACAACCGTCAATATTTTTAAACTTGAGAAATGAATCGATCTTTCAGCATTATAATTTACAGAATTAAAGTGTGAGAATGTTGGTACGAGTATGAATATGAGAGAGTGAAGATACTTATACTCACTTCCGCACTCTTACTCATACCCACGTCCACCCCGTACCTTCAGGATGAGTAATATCTGAGTCCTCATGCTGGCAAGTCATACTTGCTTGATGAGTATATTTATAAAGAAATAATTCGATCTTTTTGTCTTTTCTTGCAAATATTTTTATTTCATCAAACATTTATTTTGTTAAAAGAGATTTACGACAATTATAACATAACGATACAATATTTACACTGTTTTTGATTTGTTATATTTTATTCATGATCATGAAGCAATACCCGCTGTCATCGGTGTTTGGCCAGTTCGTTGTTGCAGAGTATTCACTGTAGGTGGACCAACAGCAGATGGTTTTATTTTCCAACATAATAATATCTTTTTGATTTTTGTTTTAATTTTAGGTATTATGGCAACACATCCAAAAGGAAAGAGAAAATTAACATAAAAAGATAAAAAGTTTCCGTATACATAATATTGAGAACCAAAGGTCTTTATACCAGTAATATAACGGCAAACACCTACTATAACCAAAGGAAAATAAAAGATATAAAATATTGATACAACATATAAGAGTTGAAGTGTTAGTTTTCGATGCTTGTGCCAATCTACATGTCGATGTATACGATATCTACGATAGATAACACGAACAATTAGAGTGATATTGAAGAAAGCAATACAGACACATGAGAATACGCCATTTGAGAATAGCTCGTAAATAGCAAATGAAGTTTCATATACACAACTATCATATCCACAGTAAGTTTGTGTATAATCAAATACATTTTGACAAGGTACAATAAAGTATATTGTCGTATAGAGAAGAATGTGATAACCAGCGACTACACCTATAGGTATGTAATGAAATAAAATACGATTCTTTGATAGTAAAAGTCGTTGTTCATTAAAAATCAGAATGTGCCGTTCAAATGAAGCCCATGCAACTAATTTGGGTAATACTGTATATGATACTGAATCAATATATTGCCAAAGTACACAAATAATTGGCACTTGCATCCAAACAATTCCATGATATAGACGATATAAAACCAATGGAACATCTAATACCAGTGCAAAAAGATTAAAGATAAGACCAACTATGAGAACATGACTATTAAGTCCACGTCGAAGATTCCTATCAAATAGTAAATAATAAAGAACAAAAACAGAACAAATAAATGATGCACAATTTGATATAAGAAACATCCAGAATCTTCCAATTAGAGGAATTTCATTTACACTTGTTCCACCATACACTAGTACAATTCCGGGTGTAGATAAATTTGAATTGCTGCTTGCATTTGACATTGTTTAGATTCAGTAAACTGAAGAAATGAATGACTATCTAGAAATATCTGTCGTAACCTATGAATCAGACAATGAAAGAATTAAAGTTTCTCAATCTATTCTTTATTACTCATTTTCTATAAGACTGCATGTAAAAATGTGAATCATTCAACTGAAATATTCGATAACAATTATACAACTTTTAAACTATGCAATTTAAGAAATAAGATTTTTCTTTTTTGGAGAAAATATCGTTTAGATTTATTGTTTTAAAATAAATACTACCTACATATTCTTACCTAACTGGTGAAGCATCATCTAACCTGTTACGAATAGAATGAATAGAAAAATATTTCTTTTAGTTGTTTGTCTCATTATTTTCTGTATATATATTTTTTTTTCTATCGGTTTAATGAGATGAAAAACATTTCCAGACTTATTAATATAATTTTAGATGCATTATTTATGATGATTCCATTTTAATTCATTTAATCTTTTCAGCAAAAGAAAAGAATATGATGATTGACGACGAAGAATCTATTTTGAGGATTTAAATGAAATGGAAACAAATTACTCTGCATATTTAAAACTAGCTGCGTAAGTTCACTTCGAATAAGGATCGGACAACTTCATGATTGGTGACAAAAATGACTAATTCCAGCGGATAAACACTATTCAAGACAAAAATGACCGCTCTACACACAACACAGATAAAACTAACAAACAGCCTTTCACTGGATCATTCATCGTCACTACTGTCGAAAAATGAGATATAGATATATGTAGATAAATGGAAGATATTTTTATTTTCATTTGATCATTGTTCCAATTAGTAGAATCATTTAGCCTCTGTAGTAGAGTATTTTTACCCTCCATTTTCATTTATGAACCGCATTATGCTTGAACTCGAATATTTTTATATGATGCATATCCAAGGGGGAAACAGCTGATTAGGAAATCGCTAATCACTCTTAATCACCCCTAATCACTATTAATCATTATTAATCACTATTAATCACTGCTAATCACGTCTAATCAATTAATCAGCTGTTTCCCCCTTGTCTTACAAACAGCTTATCTTACGACGTTGGCATCGACGCATGTGATTGAATTGATGGCTTATCGACATCCATCAAAGTTGATTATTTTTCAAATGTACTTTTTGCACAAAAACTTGTTTTAGAAACTAATTTGTGATGTTTTACGTTTTTGCTGTAATAGATGTTAATGATACCACAGCTTTTGTAGTTGTTTTCGTCATAGTTGCTGATATTTCTCTCTCTTTATTTTTCCTTCTTCAGAAAAGTAACAAAAAAAATACGGAATCAAGAAATAGAAACACGAGAATGAAAAATTACTTCCTGAGATAAAAATATGATGATCTATATAATCATGGGTAGCAGAAGAGAAAAAGAAAAAAAGGAAAGAAACTAAAACAAGCGAGCTACTCAAGGAATCTCAATCACATGTCAGACACTGAGAAGAAGCATGATAAAGAGTGAGGCGAAGATGATATTACGACCACAGACCATGATAGTTGCCACCGACGTTATTGAAGTTGCATTTTGTGCTGTTGTTGTTGTTGTTGTTGATGCCACTGACGTTATTACAGTCATATTTTGTGTTGTGGTTGTTGCTATTGTCACTGACGTTGTTGCAGTTGCATTTTGTGCCATTGTAGTTGTTGTTACTGTTGTCACTGATGTTGTTACAATCGTAGTTCGTCCTGTTGTTGTTGTAGTTGTTCCAAGAAATAAAGAGGCGTCAACACTTTGTGTCCAGTTGTGTGAGATTGATTGAGCAAAGCCTATACGATTGTTGCTTATATCAAAAATTGAATAATACCAAAAGAGAAAATAATCTCCTAAGATCCAGAAGTCATTTCGATTAGTATCCTCTACATTTTCCGATGTAAAGACGCTGTAACATACGTAATGAGTCCGTGTCTCTTTATGGATCCGTAAATATTGTAACGGTGTTAAGACGAATGCTGTACCACCAATTGTAAATGTAACATTAGGAAATGACGAAAGTGTACGTGTTGTGCAACTAACTGTGTACTAAAGAAATACAATTATTTTAAATAATATTCTTTGAAAAGATTAGCAAATTGAAACTATACCATCCCACTAGACGAGTCATAAGTACCACCCAAAGCTACATTCAATGCTGTAACTTGTTGTGTAGGTCCAGTGATCAATGTTGTACCCGTATCAGCAATAGCATATGCTGATGAACTTATAACAGTCGAGCCAACAGTCACTCTATGTAGAAAAAGATGGTTACTTGAAAGAGAAATATCTTATTCATTAAAGTCTTACTGTGTCATTTGAAATTCCCAATATCCTTCTAGCACTACCGGAATATATGTAATAGAACCTGTATATTTAGTGGAATCAATACCACCAAATATGAGCTCACTACTAGATGTAGCGTTTACATCACTACAAAAAAGAATAAGATCTTAGTTTTTAAAATGTGCAGTTAAAAGACTTACGGATTCAAATAGAAGGAAAATATAGGTTCAGAAATTAGACCTTGAGACCACATATTATAAAAAAATGGTTTTTCGTCGCCTGATGTTAAATTTGGATAAGCAAGTCCTAGAATACCATCATTAACGTCATTCTCCATACCCGTCAAAGATGTACATTCAGCAAATGTTTGATTTTGAACTGCAAGATCATTGATCTAAATAGAATAATGATTACATAATGGTATATATATATATCGTGACTCGCTTTTCAGCTATTCATTACGTTATTTTTTTTCTCTATTGAAACTGAGTAAATTATTATATTAGCTATTTTAGAGGTAGAGATCAGTGACGAATTGAGAGGGTGTGGGTGAGGGTGTACTGCTTATTCATATTGCTCACACACGGTCACATCTAAACAGTAATCCTGAAACTCACTGTCACAGTATCGATACTAAAAATTCCACTGGCTGAAGAATCATCACCATATGTAATTGAAAAACTTTCTCCATTGGCTACATATGTTGTTGATGCCGATGATATATATTTATGGAATTGATCTAGCAAATCAAAAAATTATTACAATTAAAACAAAAATATCAATAACATACTACACTGTGACGAACATTTGCTTGACGGTACCCAAAGATCAGATGAACCCGTATCAAAATCGATAAGAAACAGTTGGCTTGGTGTACCGATATAAATCGTTCCATAGAAATATTCCTATTAAATAAAACATTTTTAAGTGTATTTAATAGTCATTCTTACATCAGCTTCATTGATGAGACTTTCCAAAGCAGAAGATACAACAGCAGAGATTCTACCAAAGGTGCGTGAAGACATTTCACATGTTGTTATATTGGTTGACGAAACTATGCAATTCTTCGTTGCAGATGAACGAGATTGAACTCGACTTATAGAAATTCTATAAATTCGATATTTATAAATGAATTTAGTAATGTTAAGGAAGCATATTTGATAATTAGTAATGGATTATTTCTCTTCTTGTCTGTGTAAGAATGAAAACTGAGCATTTATTTATTCATTATTGAAAACGTTTCGAACCTTTTCTATCTCCTTCATCAGTTCGTTCACAGTTGAATTAACCTTTTCTTTACTATTTACGTATGTGTCTATTTCTTTTTTTTTTGATAGTAGAACAGAACGTCAAAACATATACGTTTACCGTCCAGTATCACCGTTTTGTTATTTCGTTCCAATATTAAAAGAAATAGATATATATGCAAATAGTAAAGATAAAGTGAATTCAACTGTGAACGAACTAACGAAGGAGATAGAAAAGCTCTGAAACGTTACCAGTAATAAATAAATAAATGCTCAACTTTGATAATTACAATAACAAGAAGAGAAATAATCAATTAATAATAAATGTATTCTAATTAATAGAGAAACTCACTTGAACAATTCATTGGCAACAGTTTGATGATACGAAACGATGGTGATGAATAGTAACAACAACGCGATAGTTATTTTTGCAATCATTCGTTGTCTTACTGCTTGTATTCTCTGAATGTATTACAAAAAAAGAATGATATTTTCTTTATAAACGAATATCATTCATTGAAATGAATCATCAAATTCTGCTTTTTTAACAAGTATCGATTAGGAAGAAATATGAAAACTTATTATTTTTCTTCGTTCTATCAATATACTATTTCATATAACTTTCATGCATACAATTATTGAAGCGTAAATATCTGCTTATTATTCATTCCGCTCATGTACCTGACGATGACGCATCGTGTACGACTCTATTACCACGAGAAAGAAAAAGAATATTCTTGATGAATTGAGCTCTACCTTGCGTTATGAAGCGAAACACAAATGCCCGATTTTTTTTCTGGAAGGAAATAATACCAAAAGAAGAAATTTCTTTTTTTTTCGTGTAAATACGTCATCGAGTTGACTTTTGATTTTTTTTTCTTTTATGCAAAAATGATTGTGAGGCAAGCAAGTATTAACCATCTTGAGGATATGGATGTGAGTGTAGACAAAGCGTAAAGACTCTCATTCATTCACACCCACACCCACACTCATCCACATCCACACCCACATCCATACTCACACTCTCAAACTGTTTTCATTGTATGGTATCCAGCATGTGCTCACAGATTTTTTGTTTCTGTAGAACGGATAGAAAATATCGAAACAAAGCAATCGTTTCTATGCATACAAACACTTTATACGTTGCGATTTTTCATGTGTCTACCGACAACACCGATCAGTACACGTTAAACTTATTAGTAGCATAAATTGCTAGACTCTTTATCAATGACCTTACATAATATTCGACCAGTTCAATGCGATGAATTGTCGACAGTACCATATCTAATGTCATCAGAGTTGAATTATGAAGATATTACATTAATCTGGCTAGATGAAAATGAAAATGAAAATTTTGACTGTCTAGATACAAAATGTCGTCTAAATATTATCGTTAATTATTTTAAAGTATTCAACGATGCACAAGAAACACTTGATTACATTCGGTCAGCATTAAATGAACATTTATTTCTGATAGTATCTGGTTCACTAGGCGAAATAGTTACTTCCCAAATCTACAACGAATCTCAATTGAAATTTATATATGTCTTCTGTATAAATAAAGAGAAACATTCCGAATGGACATGTAAATATGAAAAAATATGCGGCATATTTATTGATAAAAATGAACTATTCCATCATTTGAGTGCTACAGTACGAGCTTATGAAAAAAGCTTAACAACTATAAGTATATTCAATAAAACATGTACAGCTACAGAAGAAAAATCAGCTCGTGATTATATTATCGAAGAAAATATTTCTCTTATGTGGCTTCAATCATTTATTGATATTTTACTTCATCTACCAATCGACAAAAATATAGCTAAACAAGATATGATTGCGGAATGTCGTTTATATTATCAGAATAATGCAGTACAACTCAAAGAAATCGATGAATTTGAAAATAACTATTGTTCTGACACAGTCATATACTGGTACACTCGTGATTCATTTGTCTATCGAATAGTCAATAAAGCACTCAGAACACTGAACATTGATATTATTTTTAAATTTCGCTTTTTAATTATTGATCTTTATCAACAGCTGAAACAACACCATGCCGATTACATCAGATCTTTATCTACAATCAATCCAAAAAAGATAATACGTAGAGTTTATCGTAGTCAACGTATGGGATTTAATGAAATAGAAAAACTACAAGCTAGCGTTAATAACCTTATTTGTCCGAATTCATTTTTTTCTACAACAGAAAATTATTTAATGTCAACAGCATTTGTTGCCGGTGGTTGTGGTTCCGAATGTGTTTTATTTCGAATCGATATTCCTGATTCATATTATCATACTATTCAAGATACATTACAATACACACGTCCATTTTCAAAAATAGAAAGTTTAAGTCAATTCAAAACCGAAAGTGAAGTAATATTTTCCATGGGAGCGTTATTCCGAATTGAATCTGTTGAACAAGACTATATGTGGTATGTTTGTATGAAGTTTGAAGGAGAAAACGATGAACTTGGTAAAAACTTTTACATAACAGGAGAATTCGAGAATGGAGAATACAACTGGCAGAATAGATGCAATATCGAAGATCGAATTTTATTGTTAACGGAAAAACTACCTCAATCGTGTAGAAATATTCTAAATATTTATATTAAATATGGTGTTTTTGCTGATGAAAATCATATAACAACCACAGAAACTTTAACTACATATCGAAAAGGATTTGAATTAATAATGAAATGTTTACCGAATTATCATTTTTTAATTACTGTTGTTATGCACTTGAGTATTGGTCTGTTATATTGCAACCGAGGAGAACGCATTTTAGCCATGCATTTTGCAGAAGCAGCTCTTCATATAACCGAAACTTATTTACACAATGATCATGATTGCTTTCTTATTTGCTATAATTATCTCGCCTTTATTCATCAGATAGAAGATCAGTACACAGAAGCATTATCTATATATGAAAACATGTTATCAATCGCAACGAAACAAGATAATACGTCAGCGTTGCTGGCCATTTATGAGCAAATAATTTTTATTACTTGTGACTTTGATAATTATGATTATGAACTGATTTGCTTACAAAAAATCGCCGAATTAAAAAAAAAATTAAATTGTGAGGATAAAGCGACGACTACCTTCGAGTTTGGATGGTTTTATGAGAAAAAAGAAAATTTCGATGCTGCACTACATTATTACAAACAAAATTTTCGATGCCTTCTACAGCAAAATGCGCATATGAATGATTTAATGAAAAGTTTCTCTCGCATCGCAACAATTTACGAGAAACTAAATTATCACATTGCAGCTTTGCAAATATACATCCAAATTCTTGTCTCAGAACTTTTATCACTACCACTTTGTGATCGTTCACTTCTACGGAAATATGAAACTGTGATTAAATATATCAAATGTCTAGTTAAATGTAGCTGTACCAAAAAATTGAGACATTATTTTCGATCATTAATGTCGAGTTCGTCTTCTTCAATTATTTTCATTAAATTTATTAGAAAACTTAAATTTCTATTCTATTTTGAACTAGACCATCCATTCATATTAAAATCATCTTTAAACATGTTACTTAAACAAATTCTGACAGAATATCGAAATCAAAGAATGTATGGAAGTTGTTTGAAAAAGTTACACCGACTAATTGAACAATTTCTGAAAATAAGACCATCATGTTTTGCAAAGACTTATTGCAATGCACAAATGTTACGAGAATTACGAGAAACAATGACTGATTATCGACGACTTCTCTACTTTATTCAACGAGCTTATTTCTCAACTTCTCACAATGATACCTGTAAAGCTCAAAAGAACAATGCATCCATTGAAAGCTGTTCTACTGATATTGGACGTGTCATTCATAAGTTTGTTTATTCTTCTCATGTAACTCTCTGTCCAGATAAAATCCAACAAAAACCTCGACAACGACATCGGTCGTCGTGGACCTATCGATATCAAACTTGCGGATGTTTGAAAAATGCATCCCTATTAAGTTATCGTTCTACTGGCCGGTGGGCGAAATTTTGTAAAATCTGAACTTTTAATTACAGTAACGTTTTTTTAAATATCATCCAACAGTGAGCCATGTGGGTGGAGATTGTGTACCTCATCGCCAAAACGAATATTATCGAAAAATAAGATCGTCGAATTAAACATGATCGAAATAGAGATCATTAATATAAGCATCCAAATTTCTTGTAAATGAGCTTTTCGAGAATCTTCTATTCGATGATTTTCATTCCGATGATGTGATTTTCGGCGAAGTACATATATACCTCACGCATATCAGCAGGAGAACTCACAAATAAATTATAATCGTAAAAAGAAGACTATTTGTTGATTTTTATTTAATAAATCGCCATAATATCATCAACTACTTTTTTATAGTTAACCCTTCATAGTTGTGCTGATTTTTGTAATTCGTAGTTGTTGTGGGGTCCACATGCACCCACCTATAGAAAATTACAAACGAGATTTTTCTCCTTCGTCAAGCGGTTCATTTGGCGTATATGAAGAGATACACACCTTGACGTATAAAAACCAATGAGTCAGTTCTTATGGAAACAATATAAAAATGTATGATATCTCAAAAAGTACTTTTTTTAATCAAGTGTGTGTGGCTGTAGATGTGGATATAGATACGGGTGCGGGTGTATAAAAAAAATATAATCGACCACACTCCCATTCTAAGTTACACCCACATCCCCAAGATGCTTTAAATCAACAGATGGCAGCTTTAACAATGGAAAAAATATGTTGAAAAGAGTAAAGTTGTCCTAGGGTCCACGCGGACTTATAGCGCCGTTTTTTATCTATTAGAGTTATCTGTGATTTGAAATACAGATGATATAGACCAATATAGAACTAGAGATGTCACAAAGGGACAGGTCAAACACAGAAGCCCCTGATGTACTTTTGAATGAAAATCTGTGAAATTGGTCCGCGTAGACCCCCACGACAAGTACGAAGGGTTAATGATTATGAGAGTATGGATAGGAAAATGAGAGATAAATACAATACACGCACACCGTCACTCACGCTCATATGAGTCTTATTCTACTCATAAAATCTCCTGTGTGGAAAAAGTACGAAAATCAATTTTATGAGTATAATTGTATTTGTTTGGCATCCATGCGTGTCTAAACGTTCCATGTCAGAACAAAAAAGAGAAAAAAATCTGTAAAAATTTAATTGTTTTACGACAATATATAATGGCCGATTAAATGCGTATTAATACGTGAGAAGAAAATCAACTGTGTTTGAAGCTATGGGTGATCAATACAATACTCACATCTACATCCACATTCACACCCACAAGAGCGTCAGCGTATTGCAATACTCCAGTTTGAGTGTGTTTTATGGTTGCTATTTCACCTGTTCTTATTAATTCTTTTAATCCTATGTATTCTTCTTATCTTCCTCGCACTACTCATTAATCATGTTATACTTTATCCTCTTCTTTCTTTCTTCTATCTGATAGGCAAGCATGTAAATGTGTACTTGATATGAAAAGAATGCAATTCTTAAGAGAAAGAAATACAATAATGTGTAATCCCATCAGTGCTTACACTTCACCTATCAGAAATCGTCACATATATCCTTGAGGGTGGGTGTGGGTGTCGATAAAATATAGAGAAACAACACTCACATTCACTCCCACACCCACACTCTCGTGTGATTAAATAATCATTAACATTAACCGAGCAAAATTTTATAAAATATGAAGAAAAAATTAAATATTTACTGTCTTTACAAGCAAAAAACTATACTGTACGAAATAGAAGGCTTAAATCAATATTGAGGTTTGCTACATTGTCAGTTTATGATTCCATTATATAATTAAATATTTTATTTAGATTTATACATTTGAATACTTTCAGGAAGATGAGATGCATCAAAATAAATATCTAATGATGTTAATTTGTCTTCATCAATCTTCTTCCAAAATACACAAAATAATTTAGCTGTAATTTCTTTTCGTTCAGGATCATTTGTGGCAATGCCAGTTGAATCCTTCTGTACATAAATTTGATCAGGTAAAACATGTACATAATTAATGTCATGTTTTATAATAGGCACTTGAGCATGTTCTTCTTTCACATAATCACATATTTCTTTATGTCCTTTTAGTGGCGATAAATCTCTCATATTCAGAGTTGCATCGGATTCAAAATATTTCATAACCCAATCTTGAATATTCGGTGAATCGTATTCTTTAAAAAAGCTTCAACCCATGCTCGTGTTGCTGCGATCTGTTCAGCTGTGACTGTAGCAGATGATGACATATTGATAATAAACGATCGAATATATTATAACTATAAAAACAGAGAGTATATATGAGGTATGCAACAACATGCGTCATGGTTATAATAGTGTATATTGTTTGCTTAATCGTCCATAAGAAAAAAATAAGAAAAACAAATGACAACATTTTATATATAGAACAGAAACTTCGTATATCTTTGTTGTTACTGTGTTGCGTCACACGATCAATGCATAGTATACGTCAATGATCGAACGAAAAAATGATTTAGGCAAGTGAGTCAGTACTTGCTATTTTTACTATTCTTATTATAGATCAAGGACGATTATCAAAGAATATACTTTATATATTCCTTACGAATATAAAAAAAAAGAGCTACCGAATATATAACGTTTAATTATAGCATATTTCTACTGTTTCAATTCATAATTTTAAAGTGGACTATAATAAAAAATTATCCTTTGAAATAGATATGTGAAATTTATATCAGGATAACAAAATTCTTAAGAATGAACTCTATCATTGTATCTTTCATTATATGTCGAGTATATACAAAATATGTTATACAAACAGATTTTGCTATCGTTGATTAATTTAAATTAAATGTCAAGTCTAGTAAAATTATTCTTTCATCCCCAATGATTGTACTTATATAGAGTTGAATAAAATGATATAAAAATATATCTTTCAAATTATCTCATTAATGAACATTTATTTGTATTAAAATAAAAGAAAATCGTTCTTTATGAATAGATATTATTCTTCTACACATATATTATAGATAAAATCAATTGTACCCGAAGAACAAACAAACAAACAAATATCAGATATTCATCTGATTGGTGTAGAACTCTGTCGATATCGATATCATCCGAAATATATTACGTTGACAGTGACGAAATTTGATTAATACAAATTCAGTTCATTGTAATCGATCCACACAAATCGAAAAGTTACTTTTTCAGATTCTAAAATATTTTTTTTATTAAAGTATAAATATATTTTTCAAAAATGACTCCCACGATTGTTAATTCTGACTCCTTGAAACAAGAGACTATTCAAGATAAAAGTGTTGATATATCAAATACTTATCATTGTCAAACAGGAGTTTTAACACCATTTGATATAAATGAACATGGACTCTATATTATTTGTAAGTTAACTATTTATTTAAAGACAAAAAATTGTTTTTTTTATTTAGTCCATCTATCAAATCAATGTGATGATACACATATTAAAAAAACGTGCCAAAAATTACCTGAACTTAAAGAAGATTTATCAAAATTAAATCCAGGTTGTCGATTAGAAGCAACATTAGGAATTGGATATGATAAAACTAAAAAATGGTTATCTCAAATGAATATTCCTATACCGAAAAATCTTCTTGAATTTAAAGAAAAAACTGGAATTCAAGGAAAATCGATGCCAAGTACAGGTATCATTATCTAATTAAGAAAAATAAGTTTCTTGATTTAAAATATTTTTAGGTGGAGATTTATTTGTTCATTTAAGAAGTAATAGAAAAGATCTATGCTTTGAACTTGGCTTACAATTTTGTCGATTAATTCCTGATAAATTTATTGATCAATTAGATGATACTTTTGGTTTTGCATATATGAGTACGAAATCTAATGGATTATCTCATGATTTTACAGGTTTTGAAGATGGAAATGCTAATCCGAAAACTGATCAATTAAGAGTATATTATATTCTATTCGTTACTTTAGTTGTTATTCTATTTTCTTTTCTATTTAGGCAAAAGCTGCACTTATTCAAGAAGGTGAAGATGATCCAATTCATATTGGAAGTTCATTTGCTTTAACACAAAAATGGAAACATAATTTAATAAAATGGAATGAGTAAAATATACATATTTAAATATTCTTTTTTATAGTAAATCTTTTTAGATTATCAAAAATTGAACAAGAAAAAGTTTTTGGAAGAACAAGAGGAGATAATAGTATTAAAGTAAAACCATTAGAATGCACATCTCATCTTGCTAGAACAGATTTAAATGAAAATGGAATTGATATAAAAGTAGTTCGACAATCCTTACCGTATGGTGGAATGAAAGAACATGGATTATTTTTTATATCATATGCTTCGAGTCCTCACAAACATGAAAAACAATTAAATAGTATGGTTGGAATACCCGATGGTATTTATGATAGACTTATGGATTTCTCAACAGCAATTACAGGAAATTATTGGTTAATTCCTTCAATTAATCTTCTCAAAAAGCTTTGTTAATTTTCTTAATATTTATTGTATAAACTTAATTCTTTGATCTATTTAATATTGCATTTTGTAAAAAACGTTAGTAACAAAGCTGATTGAGATCAGCTCTTTTTTATCTTCAGATTTCGTAGAAAAATACATAATATTAAATTGAAAATCTATCGATAGTTTTTAATAAGATAACTTTTAAATCTTTATATCTCAAGCAAAAGACACGAAAATAGAAAGATATGTTTAGTGCAGAATGTTATTAAATAACGACGAATGTCATTGAAACTACGCATAATTATGCTCATAATTAATAAAGTGTCAAATACAGGATCAGTGTTGTTCTTTATTTATTCATTATAAAAAATTCTTTCTGCGCAATTCCTATAATAAGAAAAAGTAAAACACTAAGAACTTTCTAGAACAGAGAATAAGTTTTATCCAATAGGACAGCCTATAATAGTAAGCACTGCATGGCAAATTCATTTTAAATGTAGAGTATTTTTATCTCACAACAACGAACATCAAGATTGCAAAGTTCTTTTAAAGATGATGTAAGCGAACACATATGAAATTCATTCGCTTTATCGATTAAATGTAAGATGTATGATATTTTTCCTTTTTTTTGCTTCTGTATTACTTTCAAGCTCCTCTCTTACTTATAAAAATACTCTCATACTCTTCTTTAACAAACGTCAAGAGAAGGCGTGTGAGAAACAAGCAAGTCATATTATAATATTAACATCTTTGATAAGGCTGCAAAAGATGGATCCTACAAGTAATGGTACTTTGGCTCTTGTAAGAGACTCTTCATCTTTTATTCATCCTAACCGAATATTACTTATGATTCTGTATCGGTATGGATTGGTATTTGTATTCGTTATTGGATTTTCGGGAAATCTAGCAAGTTTAGTGACTTTCATGAGTCCAATTTTACGTGTTACATCAACTAGTTGTCTATTCTTTATGGTTGCCATTTCAGACACGCTGTATTTATTGATATCGATTTTTGACTTTGTCGAAGTTGGCATAGTACAAGGACCAATTTTTTTATCTGTTTACGACAGTGTTTGTCGCTTTCGTTGGTTTTCAAAAGGATTCATTCGATTTTGTTCAGCTTGGATTTTGGTATTGATTGCAATTGATCGCTGGATAAGAACGCGTTTCCCATTTAAAGTTAATCAGTGGTGTACTCGTTGTAATGCATTAATCACAATATTGATCACTATTGTTCTTGGTATTGATCTTCATGGTCATATGTTAAGTATTCAACTATTCGGTGGATACTTTCCTGGTATTCCATCAGTTGCATGTGGGCCTATTGATCCAACTTTATTCTATCTGCGTTTCTTTTTTACTCAATGGCCAATTATTCAGGTAGTCAAGAGAGAAATGAAGATTGAGAAACGTTCTTTTAAATATTTTAGGTCACTTTCATATCAATTATTCCTGTATTATTAATACTTGCTAGTAGTATTAACATTTATATCATAATTCACAAGGAGAAAAAACGCATCCAACCAAGAAGCACTAATAATCATGCACATAGAAGGCAAGCACGCTTACAACGAAATATGTTACTCTTGATGATGTCAAGTGCCGTTCTATTTTTGTCTACAACTCTGCCTATTAGTCTTTCCCAAATTATTAATGCCTATCGGCTCGCTGCAAATCTTGGTGTTGATATAAACGAGGTCATCAATGAAGAAGCAATCGTTAATCTAGTACTTGCTTTTAACTATGCTGTAAGTAATTCGCCTCTGAAAGCGATATTCCGAAAGAAAAATTTTAGAAAAACTAAAGAATTACTATTGCCTACTTGCTCTCTTATTCGAAGGAGAAAAATTGAAGTTCATATTGCTATTGAATCATCAATTAATTCTTGCTATTTTTACTGTAAGATGGATAACCCTAAATATTATAAAGTCTTCTAATGCCAATTTGATGTATTTTATATTTCAACACAGCCCTCTTTTCTTCTAGATCAACTTCTATATTCATTGTTTAGCTTCGAAACTGTTTCGCAAGGAATTTTTACGACGTTTCAAAATAATGAATGGACAAAATCAAATACAGACTCTTGATCTCACTCGAAATAATATGACATTCACTTTAAGAAATTTACCTCCTGTCGAAATTCATCACAATCACTCGCTCAATTAATTTATGTAAGCCATCACCGTAATTTATCATCCATCGGTTCATTCGTAAAATCATCAGTTTTCATAGGCACGATTTTTTTAATAATGTCTATCATGGCAAATTTATGTTAATGAATACTTAGTATTTAATATTATTATTGGATTCCTGAGAACTCAGAAAATATACTTTTGATAACTAGAATACTGAGCATAGTCCATTGAGAAGTTCGACTAGTACAAATAAAGTGTAAATTAGATGAAAAACTATTTTATAGATTTGTTTCTCTTATTCATTTATATCTATGTCATGTTTCACATTATCATTTCCGAGAAGCGTCGATGAGAGGAGTTTGTCATGCCTCTAGTAATTATTTTTATTAATTTATTTTCTTCTAATGAAAAAAAAGAAATAATAATGTTTGAAGTACCTCACCGGCTTTACTGAAGAAAGGGTTGATTTTCATGAATCATTCATTCTCATTAATAACGAAAAGAATTAGAAATGATATTCAATATATTTGAATTTTAACTGAATCAAAAGTAAATTTCTTTGATATCGTCCATTGACATACCTCGCATTCGAACATATATAGAAAAAAAAAGATTCTGTTTGTTTTATTAACAGTACTATTTATTAAAAGTATCACTTCAAACTTCCTCAACTCAGATATCTTCAGCACTATACTATTAGAAAAATATATTAACGTTTTCTTCACTTGTTAGTTTCTTCAAATAACAAATGAATTCAACAGCATCTCTGACTTTTCTTTCAAATTCCTCCACCATCATCGATATCGAATCTTGGTATATTTCAGTCGATATTCTCAGTATTATATGTCTTATTTTAGTCATCGTACTGTCTTTACTATTCTTATTAATCATCGTAATTGATAAAACATGCCATACAGTTCCTATGTTACTTGTAGGAAATTCATGTGTAGCTGCAGTTCTACATGCAAGTAATATGTGCTGGATGGGTTTGTTTAGATTACTAAATGATCTTCAAGCAACTCAATATCAGGATCGTTTTTGCATATTTCGAGGATATTTGGTGTATGCTTTCTGTGCTGTAGTTATCTGTTCATTTCTTCTCCAAGCATTCTACCGTTATATCCTTGTTGTTTATCCTGCACGTAGCAACTGGCTATCAGCAAGAAATCAATTCATATTTATCGTTCTTACGTGGATCTATGCATTAGTATTTCCACTAGCTTTTATGTTTACTGGTGACATCATCTATAATGCTGACAATGATGTTTGTGATATTCCTATCCGACTTTCTTTTGCATTAATTTTCCTCGCACTCTGTGTGTATTCTATTCCACTATCATTGGTCATGTTTATTTATCTAAAGCTTATTCGTTATGTCAAACAGATGCACAAACGTGTGATACCGGCAAATATTTTATTCCGTGTTCAACGTGAACTGAAAATGACTCGACGCATAGTTATCATGTTAACATCTCTAGTACCAATCTGTATTCCATATGCAATCTTCTTTATTTTATCATTTTTTACTTCTTTACCAATATATCATTTTCGAATACTCTTCACATTTACTAGTGTGTCATTCTTATGTACAATGGTTATCGTATTTAAATTTACTGATGCATTGAAATTATCAGTCATGAAGAAACTCAATCTACGATCGAATACCATTGTTCCAACCGTAGGAATAATCAATTAACAAACAAAGTCATAGCAATCTATTGTATTCGAACTATTATAGAGATTTGCTTGGATTAAACTTAAATGAGAATGTCTTTTTTTTCTGTCAAGTTTCATTTGAAAATAAAAGTTATTTGAAAACCATCCGTCAAAACTAGGGTGGGTGTGAGCATGTCTGTCTTCTGCATACCATTACTCATCAAATATAGTGTATGTCGTTGAGTCTAGAGTGGGTGTGGGTATGAGTATGTCTCACTGCTTGAGTGATATACAATATCGACAATTAGACATAGATGCATACCCGTAAACATACCCTCAAGCTGGTTTCTTCGTATAATCGAGGATTGAGACACTTTCTGCGAAAATATGAATGTGAGTTTACACGATATCAATGTAAGGACATGTTTAGTTCGAAGTTAGATAAGGTCTGAAAGCTAGAGAAATTAGTATGTTGTTGAAGACATCCTTTTGAAGTGTAATATCTTCCACGAAATATTTAAAGGAGAGACATAGGGTGAATAAAGGTGTGGATGTAGTGTGCCTAGAGGGTGTGAGGGAGTGGATATGGATGTTATAATAATTTCAGGGTGTGGGTGTGGATGAAATAAAATATCCACGCCCACACACCCTAAGTACATTGTATCGATGATAATTTTATGTAACAATTGAAAACAAGTTTTTGGCACGAGTTGAACACTTTAAAGAAAAGCTCAATCTATGAATCAATGCAGAATTGAATGGGCTACAAAATGACATAAGGATTTTTTTGACAATAAATTTCCCACTGATCATTTGGGCAAAATACCGAGAATTAATGGATTTTTTCTCTTATATTTTGAAACAATTAGAAAATGCCATATAGGCAGTTTTGTAGAGCAAGTGAAGCTCTATCGATTGGTATATGACTCAATTTGATTAGAGGAGAAATTATATAACAAATATTCAAAAAACAAAAAAACTCAATTTTGTTCATTTTTTAGAGTCATTTTTTTGGGGTAGTATGGTATGACACGCCCTAACTCTCTTAAAGTAAATCTTTAGACCATAATATTTTGGATTCATATATCGGTCAATAATGCCTAAGTTCCTGTCAGGTCAAATCCAGAATTTGTTGACCCACGTGTTTTGTCATATATCAAAAATGTCTGGTTTTCTCGTGGAACGTCTCTTAAGAAAGAAGAAAATAGAAAGGTGAGAAAAAAAATCCTTTTATGAAAATAACAATAAAAGATAAAATGGGTTTTGTTTTCGTTTTAGTTTTTAATATCAAATGAGTTTTTCCTTTATATTCAAGTTAGTTTGTGTTGAATAAAACGTGCCATGCAATAATATTGTACATTTATATCTTATTATTTAGATGGGTCATCTTCCTTTTATCTCGGGGAGATAATGAAAAAAGAAAGTTATTTTCTTACTTCAATCCCATTTTTTGTGTTAACATCACTATAGAACTTGTTTTGGTGACAAGGATACATATATACTCGATTTCATCCCAAATAAGAGCAATTCCAATGGTAACATCTAGAATATTTCGTCTTTTGTTCTCTCTCCGTAGTCATCGCATATGGAAAATATACGCGCTAAGAGACGTTTATCCTGCGCCATGTCTGTGTTATGATATTTCGTTACAGTGACGAATAGAGATCGTGATATGTTTATACAGGAAAAACAAAGAAATGGAGAACATCAATGGCTTCTTACAAAGGATCGTATGATACAATTCTTTTTTCGTATTTTCAACATCAACATTTTTTAATTCAGTTAGTCTGTTTTGGACCTTATCAAATTCATATTTGAAATTTCTATTTCTGCTTTCAGATTTTCCATTTTGTGCTTTTTTATATGCACTTTCTTCACTCTTAAATTAAATATTGGAAGCTTTCTCAGATTTGAAATGGCTGATTCTATTCTTACTCATATTCTTCTTTATGAACGTTTACTCGGGATGATGATTCCTGAAGCAGTATTCCCAGAACTTCCCGTGAAAACCCTCAGGAAACTCACCGTTTCTGGCAGGAATCCTGCCGGAAAATGCCCGGAGTTTCCTACCGTACGTCTTTGACATGGGTACTGAGCCAAATTTTACACTTATTGATGGATTAAAAAAATTGGTTCAATGGAATTTATATGATAAAGATCATTTTATTGAAGAACTTTGATCAAACAAAGAATCGTATAGAAATAATGTATTAACGACCGAAAGAATTTATTTAATATCCAAAAATTATAGTCAAAAAGATTATTTGGAGTTTTTATTAAAAAACCTTAATGAATTTTTAATTGAGCGTGATCAACAGGTCGACAATCGAGTTAATCCATCGGATCCTCAGTTCAGTTTAGCGGCTGGACTTGCTGTAATTCTTTACCAGTCTCGTTTCTTTCGTTTTACCCAGGACGATGGTTCCTGAAGCAGCATTCCATGAATTTTCGGCGAAATCCCTGAAGAAACTCGCCATTTCTGGGCGGAACCCGCCCGGAAAATGCCAGGAATCCGACGGAGAAGTTAAGTAACGGTATCCGGCTGCTGGTTTTGACATGTTCCTGTCGGTTTCGATCTAAACCAGATAAATTCGGTTACCGGATCCGCTCAACTGGAACACTGCTTCCATAAAATCTCCGGAATACCACGGAACCGGTCGTTTCCGTGCCGGA